GTGGTGCAGACCGTGGTGAGCCACACCGTGCGCGTCCCACCTGCATCGCAAATATTGGTACTGCTATGGTTAAAGAAGGAATTGCCTTGGGATGAGCTGCAGGAGGGAGTGCTGTCGACACCCTCAAATGCTATATCGAGAATGCCCACCGTGGTAGGAGCTTTGACCATAATACGAACATATTGCGATCCTTTCATTCAAATTGTAAACGCGGGGCACGAAGAGGTTGTTATTCAAGAATGCACTATGTTGGCGCACGCGACGGGTGCGCCGGGTCCAGAAACGAAAACATGTTTTGCTACGGGACAGGATTAAATGTTGTCAAGGGAGGAAGACGATCCGGAATGGTTAAGGGATCTTTACAAACAATACCCAGAGTTATCGCCTGTGCAACGGTCGAGTTTGCATGCGTTGCTAGTGGAATTTAAAGATGTGTTCAGTTCAGGGAAATAGGACGTGGGTCGAATGATGTTGTTGCGGCATCGTATTGACACAGGAAACGCACCCCTGATCAGGTTAAATTCGCATCGTGTAGGTCCTCTTGAGAAAGAATATATTCGGCGATCTGTTGATGAAATGCTAGAGCAAGATATTATTGCCCCATCGTCCAGCCCGTGGGGAGCCCCTATTGTCCTCGTTAAAAAACGTGATGGAACCATGCGATTTTGTGTTGACTATCGGAAATTGAATAAAATTTCGGTGGCAGAAGCGTACCCGCTTCCACGAATTGATGATTCACTGGACGCCCTGTCCGGCGGCAGAATCTTTTCGACCCTCGATCTGTTGTCGGGCTTTTGGCAATTGCCTCTGGATGAGGAGTCAAGACCTAAAACGGCATTTCGGACACCACAAGGATTGTATCAATTTAACGTGCTCTCGATGGGACTCCACTCCGCGCCGGCGACCTTCCAGCGATTAATGGAACTCGTGTTGTCGGGCCTGCAGTGGGAGTCATTCTTGATATATCTAGATGATATGATTGTTTTCAGTAGGAATTTCGATGAACATTTGCAACGACTGCGCGTCGTTTTTGGCAGAGTGCGGCGCGCCGGATTGAAGTTTAAACCACAGAAGTGCCAATTGTTGAGAACATCGGTGAAGTATTTGGGGCACGTTGTTAGCGCGTCAGGAGTGGCCACTGATCCGGAAAAGACGAGTTGTGTGCGAACATGGCCAGTGCCGAGAACAGCAGGGGAAGTGCGTAGCTTTGTGGGCTTTGCGTCGTATTATCGGCGGTTCGTTAAGGATTTTGCCACGATTGCTTGACCATTGCATACGCTGACCGGGAAGGGTGTGAAGTTTCAATGGGGGATTGCAGAACAAAAATCGTTCAAAGCGTTGCGGGCCGCACTGGCGGACGCACCGCCGTTGGGATACCCGGATTTTACGAAGCGATTTATACTTGACACGGATGCCAGTGATACGGGCATAGGCGCGGTTTTGTCACAGATGGTTGAGGGCGTCGAGAGAGTGGTGGCATATGGCAGCCGGGTGTTATCGCCGGCGGAGCAAAAATACTGTGTGACGCATAGAGAATTGTTGGCGATTGTCCATTTTGTTCGGCAGTACCGACCGTATCTGTACGGCAGGGAATTTTTGATCCGCACTGATCACGCGGCACTACAGTACTCGCTGCGCGTGGATCAGCCGTCGGGGCAGATGGCTCGCTGGCTTGAGACCCTCCAGGAGTACTCTTTCACGATCCAACATAGGAAAGGAACGCGCCATGTAAACGCGGATGCTTTGTCGAGGTTGCCGCGACCGGCTGAGACGTGTCAGTGCGCAGAGGGCTCGCTGCGTTGCGGCCTGCCGCTGCAGGAGGTTCCGCAAACGGTCGCTGCAGCGGGTTCGGGAGTGCCAGGGATAATCCCTGGAGCAGAAATTGGATTATTGGGGTTTTCATTGAAACGGTGGAAGCAACTGCAGGTAGAGGATTCCTCGCTAACCAGGATGAGGCTGCATGCCTCTCGTTCAAGGGGATCGGAGGATCGCCCATTTTTGATGTTGACGGAGGGGTTGCTTGTTCGCTGGGATGTGGAAGCACAAAAATTTTGTATTGTTGTCCCGAGGGTGTTGCGGGGGAAACTCATTAACGAGATACATGATACATTGATGCATTTGGGGGAGAAGAAGACCGCGTTGACAGTGGGGAATGAATTTTACTGGCCGAGAATGTTTAATGATGTGAAACAGCATGTAAAAGCATGCCAGGAATGTGCACAGAGGAAAGCGCCGGCACGGCCATATCGTGTCCCATTGCAATCGATTCAAGTTTCGAGAGTGAACGAAATTGTGGCACTAGATATTTTGGGTCCGTTCCCTGTCACCCCCCGAGGGCACAAATATTTGCTCGTCGGGGTGGAATACTTAACTCGTTGGCCGATGGCATGGGCGCTAGTAGACCAGTCAGCAACGTCGATCGCTGAGGCTTTCTTGAAAGGGTACGTCTTAGATAAGGGGGCCCCGGAACAATTGCTTACTGACCAAGGCAGAAATTTTTCATCGAAATTGATTAAAGACGTGTGTGACTCGCTGGGGACCAAAAAGATCCGGACGTCCCCGTACCACCCGCAGACTGACGGGATGGTCGAGCGGCTGCATAAGATGCTGACGTCCATGCTTTGTCACCAAGTAAACACCGCTCAAGATGATTGGGACCTGCATGTTGCAGCGACGCTGGCCGCGTATAGATTGGCCCCGCATGCCTCAACGGGGTACTCGACATTTTTTCTAATGTATGGACGGGAACCAGAAGCGCCGGCTATCGTTAAATTGGGAATTCGGAAGCGAGAGAAATCTACGACGGTGCCTGCTCCAATGCAGGTGGCTTTAGACCGTCTGAGGGAAGCCCGGGAGGCTGCATTGAAAAATACGGCACAACGACCAGCCGCTAACGAAAGATTGTACGGCAGGCAGCAGCCGCGAGAGCCGTGGAGTGTTGGAGATAAAGCCTGGTTGCACTGCCCCATGGTGCCGGGGGGAACGTCCCCAAAGTTTCACCGCCCCTGGCAGGGGCCCGTTGATATTGTGGAGGTTTTACGGGATCAGAGCGTGCGAATAAAATTTGGTCGTTGGACATGGTTTGTTCACCCGTCGCGCCTGAAGAAATTTGTGTTACCATATGACGCGTCATCCCCCATCCGAGAGCGGCCTGTATTGGATGTGTCCGACAAACCTGTGGGGAGGTCACAAGTGCGTGTGTCCCAGAGATCTGCCCCCTGTGTGCCTGCAGGATCGCTCCTTTTGGGCAGGGTTGCTGACCGGACGCCGACTGAACGGCCACATATCCGGACCAATGTCCGTCCCGACCAGGAACGACGGACAGCCCCGCCAGCAGAGTGTCGCTGGGACAGGGATGGGCGCAGGGTGGAGCCCAGGAGCGCCCCTCGTTGGCGAGACAAGCGAGGCCCTCCCTTACCGCAGGGTGTCCCGTGCAGGGGGGATGGGCCGGCAGCGGGAACCCGTTCCAGGAGAAGTACACTACGTTGACTTTGGGGGGTTTGGGGATTCTGTATAAAGGTGTTGTGTGAGTGTCGTTGTGTGGTGCGTATCGGGTGGTTGTACAAAATGTTTATGTGTTGCGAGTGCGTTCTGTATATATGTTATCATCGTTCCGTCCGCTTCACTCCACTACTCCAATTCGAGTATAGCGTAGCCGGGGACGGCTAGGTTCTTTCATCACAGGGGGGGGGGGGGGTGATGTAGTGGAGTAGAAGATACACATGGGTACATTGGCCATAAACAGTACATACAAACAGTGTGGGTCATGTAAGGTCGGGCAGGTGATGAAGCCACGGGTGGCGTAGGCAAGCAAAAGTAATTAAGGGAGTCAAGGGACGAGGGCTGTGATTGGTCGAGAGGCTGTTAGCGTTAAGTGGCGGCGTCACGAAGTCTGGGCCATTGGACAGGTGCGGAGCTGGCGGGAAAATGCCAGCGAGGCACGTGGCAATTAATTAAGGCTGATTGGAAAGGGGATAAAACCGCTAGGTGATTTGGACGGCGGGGAGTTGTTGGCGAGAAGTGGAGACAGCAGCGGGTAGAGAGAGATGCGAAGAGGGGAGCCGGCAAGTGTTAGTGAGAAATAGATTGAGAGCCGAACCCAGAGGACAATAAATAGCGACAGCGAGAGTTAGCGTTAGCAGAGTGGAGATTACGGTATAGGTAGGTACAGGGAGAGTGTGTGAAGAGATAGATAAGTCACTGTGTGTGAAGAGATAGACAATTCACTGTGTGTGAGGAGATAGACAGGTCACTGTGTGTGAAGAGATAGACAGAGTCACTGCGTGTGAAGAGATACACGAGTCACGGTGTGTGAGGAGATAGAGATAGAACCACTGTGTGTGCGGTGAGAGAAGAAGAGACTGTGTAGGGAGACGAGGAGTATGAGCGGACGGTGCTGAGGGGAATTCGAGTGTTCGAGTTGGCGGAGCGTGGAGAGGAGAAATTATATAGTGTGTGTGTGTGAAATTATATATATAGTGTGTGTGTGTGCGGAACAATTAAAATAAAAGTGACGGTGGAAGAAAGACGATTGTCGTCCGAGTGAATCCAAGGCACTACATATGCATAGTCTTTAAAAGAGAGTGATTGGTTTTACCCTTTTACCCTCTCTGGCAATAAAACCAAGCACTTTCAAAAACGATATATAATAAGAGGATGTTTGTTTGCATGTTTTGCCATAAGTACATGTGATTCCTTGTAAGAGGTTTGCATGTTTTGCCATAAGTACATGTGATTCCTTGTAAAAGGTTTCTATTTGGTGTTTGAACATCTTAACCTATTTCGGTAAAGACACGTAGGTATAAAATATTTTATACCTACGTGACTTTACCGAAAGAACCAAAGAGTATGGATTCCTGCAATCACAAAAGCTTCAAATCAAGATCTTAACATCTGCTGTATTGCAAGAAGGGTAAACACATTCTTATTTTTAATACTTTGATGTCCTGTAGATATGTTGCTGTAAGATTGTTGTTGAGTTGTATACTTTAATTACATACCTGTGTGCAGAGTAAAGACTTGTAATGGTATCTAAAAGAGAAAAGGACAGTTGTTAACGCATCAAAAATACATTTGATTGAGGTGTCCCATATGTCAGAGTGCTGAGGCAGCACTGCTTAGATCCTTGTTTGAAAACAAGCCAGCCACCTATGGTTAAACCGGATTCTCACATGGAGTGAGTTGATTTATCTCAGCCAAGTCACCGGTGATTCACATAGAGACCCACAGGCTTGCATAGAGACCCATAGACACAAGCACAGAGACCCATAGAAATGCATTGGGCCACCCTGCACAATACTAACTCTAGATTTTCCTGACTTTTGGGCCACCTTGTATATATTTTTTTCCATTAGGTGAGTGGGTGGGCGAGTGAATATGGGCGTGAGTGGATGAGTGGGTTAGTGAGTAAGTTTGTAAGTGGGTGAGTGAGTGAGTGGCCTAACTTTTGGGGGCCACCCTGCATAATAATAACCCTGTGTCCTGGCTTTTGGGCCACCTATTGTAGCGAAACTGCTCGTAGTCGATCCGACAGCCACATTGGGGTATCGATTCATCGAGGGTTAATCACTACATTGATTCATTGCCAATCCATGGATCAAGTCATTCAATTGGTTAAAAGAAAGAACCAAAGAAGATTAATCATTGCAGTCACGAAAGCTTTAAATCGAAATTTAATGGTTAATATAGCTTCCCACAGAACCATATTTGCGGCAGACGGTGGTTAATCTTATGCAAATTCCGACCAAATGCACTGATGAAGAAATAACTTATTGTATTTTCATGTCATTACCATTCAAACGTATTCGTTTTATTTGTAAAATACTTCGATATATTTATCATATGGCATTATTATTAAGGCTATTGCCGATACCCCAATGAAGCCCTCGAATATTGCTGTGGTAAAAAAGTGCTGTTGGTACGCAGCTCCATTGGAACGCTGTTATAATGACCCCGTATAAGGTTGTTTCGTATAGCGCTTTGTTTACCAAGAACGCATTCTGAGCGCTATAGGCGGTATGCCTGTATATATTTTCCATTTAACGCCACAGTTTGACGAATGTAATAAGTACGATCCTTGATAACCAAGAGAGAGACTTCACTGACCATGAGCGTGAGCCCCAAGGAGATGATGTACATCTTGAAATGCCACGACTGGATTCCTCGAACCGTCATCGCTTCAGCTTCTCAATGAATCCGACCGGATTGTTAACTTCTTCACCGGTGATGGATATTGTGGTTGAGGTGGCAGTGGTGACCGTGATATGTGAACGGCTCTGCGAAGAGAAATATTCAGCACCGCTCAAGACGTGATTCATCAAATGGCTAGAGCCTCCAGTAAGGCATGCGGCTTCTGTGTGTGGGGCAAACCACACCCTGACTCCATCTCATCGAATGTATCCTGTCTAGATGTATCTATATAGCGCCTTATTCCAAAGTGCTTTACAGCAATTATGCAAATTCTACGTAAACCAGCTATAGCCTCCAATAAATCACGTGACTCCTGTGTGGCCACCCCGACTCTGAACTTCTCCCCACCATCCACCCACTTTGAAAAGAGACGATGTTCCTCCTCCTTTCCCGTGCAGCTTCCTTCTGCTACTCGTTCCTTTCTCCCCTCTCTCCCCCCTCTCTTCCCTCACCTTATCATCACCTCTCATCATCGCCGATAAATATTTGGCAAGCCATTCCACCTCCTCCTCCATCAACCCCACCATCTCCCTCCTCCCTCCTGACTGGGTAGGTGGGTGGGTCAGTGGTTAGCTGGGTGGCAGGATGAGTGAGTGACTGAGTAGATAGGTGGGTGAGTGTGTAAATGGGTGGGCGAGTGGCTGAGTAAGTTAGTGTGTGAGTGGGTGGGGTGGGTAAGTGTGCGACTAAGTATCTGACTGAGAGTGTGGGTGGGTGGGTGAGTGGGTGATTGATTGAGTGTGTGGGTGAGGGAGAGAGTGGGTGAGTGAGTCACGAAGCTGGGCATCTGAGTTCAATGACATGCCACGGCTAACGTCAGTGGTGAGCGACACGCGAACACAAACCTTCACCACCCCTTTCTCTCAAACCTCGCACTGACCAGCGTGGTGAAGTATAGTCAGTCACCCTGTCGCCTCCCTGCCCACGCCCCCCTCAACCCCACTTCCCCCCCTATGACCAATAAGGGGCGCCGCTGTGGCTAGGAGATGTTGTCTCCATCGCCTGGTATACAGGAGGTCGTAGGTTCCATCCCGACCTTGACAATGCCAGCTGTATGTTTGGAGTCTGCGTCTCTCTTTCATCATCACGGTAGCTAGGAGATGTTACCTCCCTCAGGGCTAGGATCGCCTGGTATACAGGAGGTCGTGGGTTCTATCCAAGCCCTAACATTGCCTGTTGTATATTTGGAGTTTGCGTCTCTCTCTCTCTCCACGTGGTGGTCGCGTTGATGTTTCTCCCGGTCCTCCGGTTTTCCCCTCCACATTGAGAATCAACGTCACTGCGTTGATAAATCCCCAGATAATGATGATGATGATGAGCCACTTCGTTGATATATCATTTGTGCCAAGGTCACTTCTAAAACATTTAAATAGTTTAGTTCAGTTTTAGTCTAACAGCCAGCAGTACATATTTGCAAAACAGACAAAAACAAAGAACCCCGTGTAGCCGTAACATACTGTTTGGAGCAAGTGCTGTTCACGAGCAGCACTTATGAATTCTGGCATTGCACACAAGGGGGTGGGTGGCCAGAACCACACCGCACCAGGTACCCATTTTAGGCTGAGTCGATCTAGGGGAGGCTCCAGAACACATTCAACCGCTCACCCACTCACTCACCAACCCACTCTCCCACCAACCCACTCATTCACCTACCCACCAAACCACACACTCACCGACCCACCAAACCACACACTCACTCACCTGCTCACTCGGCCACTCACTCGATAATCACCTTGCTGTCCGCAGACCAGCTGCGGCTGACCCCAAGCACGTTGCACTGATCCGTCACGTTACTTACCTCTGTTCCACAGACCCACAGTCTCTTCGCTCTGTGATTGGTCAGGAGAGAGATAAAGGCAGTTTGTGGTTGCTTTGTCAGGTATGTTAATTAGCATGTGGTGTGGTAACAGTCGCGTCTTTTTCTCTCTCTCTCTCTGAGCAGTAAAACTAAAGCGACAAAATAGTTTTATTTTACCAGGTGAGGCCCACTGAGCTATGTAACTTTCTTTCAGAAATGACCTGCATGGCTATCACAAATTAAAGCTCTAAACGCATTTTGATTTTAAATGTGGAAGGGGAAAGTCAGCAGACCCAAAAAATAATCCACATGACCATGGAGAGAGAGAGAGATGCAAACAACAAATATACAACAGGTGTCAGGGCTAGGATCGAATCGACGACCTCCTGCATACCAGGCGAGGTAGTTTACATCTCCGAGCCACCGTGGCCGTGTTGAGTCTAAGGGCGAGCATGCATGTACAGGCAGTCATCGACTTACGCACACCCGACTTACGAACATAAATACGTACGAACCAGCTTCCATGAAATATAAACATTGACTTACAACGCGACCTCGCAATTGAAAACTTGAGCCGTGGAAGTATTTTGTTCAGATGTAATGAGTTGGACTCGCGGTGGGAATGAGTGTTTGTGTGGTACAGGAGGACGTGGAGCTGAGTGGACTTGCCGATAACTGGTACCAGCGGTGTCAAGATCGGCCTCTGTCGAGGAGGCTCGTGAAGGATGCTACTGGGCAGTTGGAGGTAGTCGCCCTCCAACAACAACAGGTCAACAACGAGCGGAGCGCCGGGTGACTAAAGCACAGCAAGTTGGCACAGTAGGGGGCACAGGTGGTGCATCAGCCAGTCATCTCAGTCATCTTAGTCGACCCGTGGCACTTGGGTCTGCCCCCTGACCTCCTGCCAGCGGGCGTTCGACCCTTCACGTGGCCTCAAGGTGCACATGGCCTGGCACAAGCGTCGTGGTGACGTCACCGCCACTTAGTGGCGAATGGCGGTTGTTGTGTGCTGAATTAAGTTTATGGCGAGCGGTAGTGTAGCAGTTTAGTGCGCTGCGCTACGCAAGCGGCGACCGGAGTTTGAGTCTTGCTCATGGCCATCACCCATGAAGATTATCTCAACCGGTCCTGAGCCTACCCTAGGTCGACTCAACCTCAAATGAGTACCTGGTACGCTAGGTGCTGGCTACCCACCCCCTCCCTCGTGTATCGTTCTGGCCTTCATAAGTGCCACTCGCTCACAGCACTTGCTCCTACAGTCTATAAAGGCTACACAGGGGGTCTTTGTGTGGGGAGGGGGAGCGGTAGTGCAATGGTGAGCACGCTGTTCTACCAACCTGGCCACCACAGTTAAATTTCCCGCTGACGATCTACACCAGTGACGATTATATGAATAGGACCCGGGCCTCCCCTAGGTCGGCTCAGCCTCAAATGGGTACCTGGTGCGGTGTGTAAACATCACCACTGGTGAGACAAAGGCGGCCGGGCGTGGCGCTGGCAAATCAGCACTTGTCCCTTCAGTATGTTTGGTCCATACGGGGGATCGTTGTCATTGGAGTGTTTTTGCGTCTGTGTGTCTTTGTATGTGTGTGTGTCTTTGTGTGTTTGTGCGTCTGTGTGTCTTTTTGTGTGTGTCTTTGTGTGTGTTTGTGCGTCTGTGTGTGTCTTTGTGTGTGTTTGTGCGTCTGCGTGTGTCTTTGTGTGTGTCTGTGTGTGTCTTTGTGTGTGTTTGCAGATTTGCTGAGCATTTCTGTGAAGTCCTGGGGGAGGGGAAATCCCTCAGCCAGGAAAACATCGTGGCACAAAGTGGGGATAACCCTGCTGAGGCTGCAGTGCCTCAAATATTGGAAGAAGTCACCCCCTGTGAATGGCTGGCTGAGGTGCCATCTGTTGAAGAAGTACTGAAGGCGATCCGGAGTCTAAGACCAGGAAAAGCACCAGGCAGAGATGATCTCCCAAGCGAAATGCTGAGGGAGGGTGGCGTTTGTGCACAGACTGCCCTATATGACATCATAACAACAGTCTGGACCACTGGACGGGTTCCGCAGGATTGGAATGATGCCCTGGTGGTCCCTCTCTTTAAGAAGGGCGACCGCACAGACTGTAACAACTACAGCGGCATCTCACTCCTCAGTGTGCCGGGAAAGGTCCTGGCAAGGATTATTAAACATCGCCTTGCCAGGCATGCTGAGGAGAGGCTTGCGGAGCCCCAATGCGGTTTCAGGAAAGGGCGGTCCTGCACAGATGCCAAATTTTATGTCCGTCTGCTACAGCAGAGGTGTAGGGAATTCCAACAAGACCTACATCTCTGCTTTATTGACCTGGTCAAGGCCTATGATACCATCAGTAGGCCTGGGCTCTGGGCTGTTTTTCGTGCTTTTGGAGTCCCTGACCCTCTGCTCACGATCATTAAGGACCTTCATGATGGTGAGCGGGCCCGGGTAAAACTACGTGGCCGGGAGTCAGAGCCATTCCCTGTACACCTTGGGGTGCGACAGGGATGTCCTCTAGCTCCCACGTTATTTAACATCTATTTTGACCACGTAGTTCATGAAGCCTTCAATAGCTGTACCGGGGGAATCTCCATATGGTACAGATATAATGGGAGGCTGATCGATGCCCGGGTGTGGTCAAGGGATGGCTCCCTATTGCTCAACCACGTTACGTATGCTGATGATTTGGTAATAGCTGCTCATTCAGAGGAGGAGTTGGAGACGCTGCTGCTGAGACTGGAGCATGCCACTAAGAGGTGGGGCCTTACCATCAGCCCCACCAAAACTAAGCACCTGCCTGGGTATTTTGTACCATCTGACACTACACCCCCACAACTCCTAATCGGTGATGGGGCAGTTGTGGAGCGAGTGGAGAGTTTCCCATACCTGGGCAGTGTGCTTATGACCGGCTCCAGTTTAACAGCAGAGGTCTCACTCCGAATCAGTCGAGCGGCAATATCTTTTCATCGGTTGCGTAACGCTGTGTTGGAAGCTACCTGGTCTGTCGCTCCGCACTAAGCTTCAGGTCTTCTCGGCCACGGTCATTCCCTCCCTTCTCTACGCTTGCGAAACGTGGACCCCCCTAATGGAGCATCTTCGCCGGTTAGAAACATTTAGGCTGGCCTGCCTACGATCCATCCTGGGTTTAACCAGACTGGATTGTGTGAGGAGCTCACAAATCCTTGAAAGATCTGGGCAAGGTCCCATCGGTGAGCTCCTCCGGCGGGCAAGGCTGCGATGGCTGGGTCATGTAGCCAGCATGCCCAGCCACCGCATGCCGAAACAGCTTTTGTTCGGCCGGATTGAGGGGGCTAAACGGGCGCGGCACGGGCTAGAGAAGAGATGGAGTGATGTGGTACAGGAGGACGTGGAGCTGAGTGGACTTGCCGATGACTGGTACCAGCGGTGTCAAGATCGGCCTCTGTGGAGGAGGCTCGTGAAGGACGCCACTGGGCAGTTGGAGGTAGTCGCCCTCCAACAACAACGGAGGGCGGAGGAACGACGCTCACAACAACGAGCGGAGCGCCGGGTGGCTAAAGCACAGCAGGTTGGCACAGTAGGGGGCACAGGTGGTGCATCAGCCAGTCATCTCAGTCAGTCGACCCGTGGCACCTGGGTCTGCCCCGTGACCTCCTGCCAGCGGGCGTTCGACACTTCACGTGGCCTCAGGGTGCACATAGCCTGGCACAAGCGTCGTGGTGACGTCACCGCCACTTATTGGTGAATGGCGGTTGTTGTTGTTGTGCTCCGTGTGTGTACAATTGTGGTGACTCA